AAGTTAAATTTTCTGCGTAGATGGGGGTGAATAGTTCCTTTGTAAATTAAATAGTGAAATGATAATAGCTATTCTTTTATTTTTTAGAAGTTGATAAATACAAATAAATTGTAGCCCATTAGTAGTGCAAAATGAATTACAATTTATTAGTTTTTCGTCTCCAATGACCGTCAAGTTTACATCACCCGGTCTCGCCAGGGCCAAAACTTTAAATGTGAGGTTGTACGGGGTTCCACATAAAGTCCGCCCCGTGTCAGAAATATCCTTAGTCCGCCACTGAGCTAATCCACACGAATTAAATGCAGGTCCATTCTAAATAAGTAGTGAAAAATATTCTTTTTATAGCTACTCCTCAATAACAATAAATTGTTTAAGAATAGAATAAAAAGAATACAATTCCGGGCGGAGGGGGTATGGGCGCCAAATTTTTATTAGCCTAGGGCGCAAATATGTCTTAATGCGCCACTGCACAGAATCAAATCCTTTAAGTGGCAAGGGGCGGAACACCTGGCAAGAAGGACGGATAACAGATGGACCACAAAAATTATAGCATGGTACCCACGAGGAATTAAGAGACCTAGAGGAAGGCCAAACCTGAGATGGGACCATGATATTTGGAAATTAGCAGGGATAACTTGGAGGAATAACTACAAAGAGAGTATGTGAGGGAGGCTACACCATAATTGGAAATGGTTGGATAAGCTGAAAATGATGATAATGATGATGATACTTAGTAAGAAAATCGCTAATTGGTAAAACAAGAAAATTAATATTAAAATTTAAAAAAGGTACTAAATTGAATTCTTGATTGTCTTGACTTGAGGGTAATTATATTGATTTAAGTCATTTTACTGACTTAACTTGACTAGTGATTTAAGTCTTTACAAAAATGACTTGACTTCAAATAAAATGACTTAAGTCTATTTAAAACTGACTTGTTGCAGCTCTGTAGCCACATATAATAATTTACCTATACAGGGTTGTTCACCACATACGACACGGAGTATTGTAGCTAAACGATTAGATTTTTACAAATTGTAAGTTTTGGGTTGGTTGAAGGACTATTAGAGCTACAATTTAAAAATATTTTTACAACATACAGAGTGTCCCAAATCAATAAAAAATATCAAAGTTGTATTTTTTTAAATGGAACACCCAGTATATTATTACATTTGTAGTTTCTACGATTAAAATAAAAGTAAATTTGATTAAGGTTTATCACCCTTAAACCTTACCGTTTTTGAAATATTTTCAATTTTGTGAAATTGCAGTAAAAATTTCAAGGCTTCATTTCTCCAAGGGTATCAAAGTTTTTAATACTAAATATTTACTGAAGTTTAATTATTGATTAGTTATTGTGTTACAATAATAAAAGTAATACTACTTCATACAGAGTATCTAAAAATTTATTTTAAATAATTTCTAGCTTTAAACGGCAATAACTTGTTTAATTTAAATGGAACACCCTGTATATGTTAGGAGAATCAGATGCACAATTTAATTCTCCATCAAATTGTATTATACCATTTTTTACCTATCTCTTCAAGTTTTCGTAGAAAATGCGTTTTCTAATAATTAAGACCTCATTTATCAACATACCCATGGAATATTGACATTTTAGATTGTTTTTAAAACAACGAATGTACAAAATGTACAGGTGCTAAAAATGATAATATTACCAGCGTATTTGTATACAAAAATAAAACTATTTAAATCTTTATAAAAGACTGTACCATTAATTAAATATACCACCAGTATTTCCGTCCAAATATTAATTATAAAATATTTAATTGTGTTAGTTAATAAATTATTCTAAATAAATGGGGATTTGGAATCCGAAATCAATATAATAATAAGTTATGAAAATGAACATGTTGTTATAAGTAAGCATTCGTCAAAAAATGAAATAAAATTTTTAAGGTGTTACTTTTTACCACACTGTCTAATATAGATACAAAATTCAGTTTTTAGTATTTGGAGCAATTATTATTAATCAATGCAAGCGGTCCATTAATGTAGTTTGAATACTGAAATCATATTAGTTGGTCCTATCTACAAATATTTAAACATTGTTTTTTTATTTCATAATGACATAAACGAACTATATCGACAATATTGGTATCTGTACCCTTTAACAGTTTGTTACATCTTTAAAAATAATCTAAAATGTCAATATTCCATGGGTATATTGATAACTGAGGTCTAAATTATAAGAAAATGCATTTTCTACGAAAACCTGAAGACATAGGTAAAAAATGATATAATATAATTTGATAGACAATTAAATTGTGCATCTGATTCTCATAAAATATACAGGGTGTTCCATTTAAATTAAAGAAGTTATTGCCGTTTAAAACCAGTTATTATTTAAAATATATTTTTAGACACTCTGTATAAGATAGTATAATTTTTATGATTGCAACAGAAAATTTAGTAAATAGAAATACTTCAATACATTATTTGGTTTTAAATACTTAAATAGGCCTAGAGAAATAAAGCATTATAATTATTACTGTATTTTGACAAAAACCTAAATATTTCAAAAACGATAAGATTAAAATGCGATAAACCTTAATCTAATTTACCTTTATTTTAATCGTAGAAACTAAAAATGTAATAATATATAGGGTGTTCCATTTAAAAAAATACAACTTTGATATTTTTTATTTATTTGGTACGCTCTGTATCTTGTAAAAATATTTTTAAATTGTAGCTCTGATAGTCCTTCAACGAACCCAAAACTTACAATTTGTAAAAATTAAATAGTTTAGCTACAATACGCCGCGTCGTATGTGGTGAACAACCCTTATTTATTTATTTCGTATGAGAAGCACAAATACAGGATATGTGAATACATTCTATAAACATACACAGAGATAAGCATATATAAACAAACAAATAGTTGTAAAAGAAAAAAGAAAACATGCATGAGAAATATAAGGACTTAAAAATATTACAAGTATATATAAAACATATAATTCTAAATATATAATAATATATAATTCTGAATAAGAGTTTTGCTCCTAAAAGAGGACCGGCCTGTATAGCTGAGAATAGGATCACGCAGCAACGGTAACGATATATGTAATTGTCCTGCATAACTAGACACCCTATAGAAGCGGTTTTCGGTATCTATGCTACTGCACAGAATGCAATAGTACCGATAATAATTGTCTCGGAACCGTAATGCCAAGGATAAGCGAAGAGAAAGTGGTCTGCGGGAGGCTGCTGAGCCTGCTGCCAGTACCAAAGACCACAGTGCTACTGGGCGCGCGGGATATATACGAGGTCAGTTCATCAATTACCAATTTACCACAAGCATCTGTTTCCTTCTGGTGTGGGATATAATCAACATTTTCAATACGCTAAACATAAATATAGAGTAGTCGCAAAAAAGTCTGCTTCAAGTAGAATCTTTTTATTATTATCAACAGCGGTAACGGCGCGGCGTAGTGTCCTTCAATATACTTGCGCGACTTTATTCGCATGTCAAATTTTACATTTACATTTTCAGTATACAGGGTGTCCCAGGCTGAGCATACAATAGAAGTATCTAGAGAACCACAATATCTAGATCTGAGATTGATTGAATATGGCGGCACTTCCGGATATAACGGAAGTTGACAGCAACTTTTTTATTTTAAATGGGTGCCCCCATTTTTTATTACATATACTTAAATTCTCTGTAAAATTCTTCGAATATTGATGTTAACACTCTATACCTAACGTTATTTTTGAGAAAAAAAATATGTAACATTTTTGGACGAAAAAAACTACCTTTCAAAAAAATTTGTATAGCCCAAAACTAAAATTTAGTGATTACCATAGCCACTGTGACATAAAGAGAAGACATGTGGCTATCTATTTCAAAAATTAAATTGTTCAAATGTCATATAATAATAGCGGTAGCTGTCATGGAATTGAGTGATTAAAAAATTATCATAAATCATTTTTTTCAAATGGAAACCCACTTTTTTTATTCCACTAGTGAAAGAGTTTTCCATTTCGTTACATTTTGAGTGTACATGTATCTATACCTAAAATAAATCATTTTTAAGTTATGTAATATTTATCTAGCTTTCTTTGACATTAAGTGTCAAATAGCCAGACAATTTATTTCCATCTGTCAGAAAACGAATTATTTAAATTTTCTATATTATAAACACTGCCTACCTTAGAAGTTTAAAAAGTGTATTTATAAAAATATACCTCGTATTTTCGCTCTTTAGTGATATCTAATAGTTGACATTATTAATAAAATACCGTATAATCGAAAAAAAAACAGCGCAAAGTTGGCTTGGAAATGATGATCGAAAGTGTCACAATATGACATGGATCATGACCAGATATGTTGTTTTGCATCACTTGAAGTTTAAAGTCATAGGCAACTGGTTAAAATCAAGAAAAATATACGCTTTAAAACTAAATTTTAAGTAACTTAAAAACAATTTATTTTAAGTATAGGAACATGCATAGGTAACGAATTGAAAAGTAACGAATTGAAAAACTAGTGAAATAAAAAAAGTAGGTTTCCATTTGAAGAAAATGATTTATGATAACTTTTTAATCGCTCAATTCCATTACAGCTGCGGTCATTATTACATGACAATCGAACAATTTAATTTTTGAAATTGATAGTCACAAGTCTTCTCTTTATAACACAGTGGCTGTGGTAAAATTAATTTTTTAATTTTAACTTTTTATCTCCAAAACGGTTAAAATGTTAGATATAGAGTGTTTAATATCAAAATTCATAAAATTTTACAGAGAATTTACGTATGTAATAAAAAATGGGTTCCCCCATTTAAAATAAGAAAGTTGCTGTTAACTTTCGGTATTTCCGGAAGTGCCGTCGTATTGAAAATATTTTTAATCGATAGACCTCGTTGTGAAACAATGATATGCAAAAAATCTCCAATCTAAATATTTGTAGTGCTCTAGAAACTCCTAATACACGCTCAGCCTGGGACACCCTGTATATTTTTTGTTTTCCAACTCACCTTTGGACCCGGGCAACACTGCCTCCCCCGCCGGCACCAGTATCTCCCCCGCGGGGATCGTCCTGGCACCCTCGGGCGTACCAACCGCCCCGTCCTTCTCAGTCTTGACCTGCACGCCCCTGATTGTCTCCCTGACCAGGCAGCCCTCCTCCGGCTTCCTGCGCGCCAGCTCAGCAACGCTCTCGATACATCGCACGGCTCGGCCTTCTTCGCTCAGCAGCTCGAAGTAGCCCGAATAGTTGTCCGGTATCACTAGCCTGAAACAAGAGGAAATCATGTTATGAGAATGTTTTTTGAGCAACTAATAAGTGTTATTTTATTAGGGACATCATGGATCAGTGTTTTAAGTATTGCTTACGATATTTGGCACCGCGAGATCAGTTCTTGGGTTAATATACAAAAAATCCGAGATAAACAAAATAGCTTCAGGCAGCTTAGCGGCTTGGAACATCTAATCTAACCCCAAAAGGAAAATTCCACTCCTCCAATACCCAGTGGATAACACAATGTGTGTAGTATTGAGCAATAAAAACAAATTGGAAGAGAGACGTTTGCTCAGCAGTTAACAACCATACCATAACGTAGTAAATCGATGCTTCTAAAACTAAAGTATGAACAGGGATACGAGTATTTGTGCCGAAAACTTAATACTCCGAACCAATGGGCACATACCTTCAGGCAGAAATCTACGCTATCAAAAAATGCGTACAACTGATCTTATATAGGAACTATCGGAAACTAGAAATATCCGAGAGTCAAAGAGCCTTAAGAGCGATCAACTCAGCAACCAACCAACAAAGTTGATTAAAGAATGCCTAGAGAAGCTGTATAAATTGGGCAAAGAAAACGAAGCCCTCCTACTCTGGGTGCCAACACACCAAAGGATAGAAGGTAATGAAAAAGCAAACGATCTAGCTAGAAAAGGAGTGAACACTACCCCTAACTGGACCAGAACCATTCTGTTTCCCCAGTGGAAAGCAATCTAAAGCAGAACCTAGAAGACTCCATCCGCAACGTGAAATGGGAATCCTCGAACGATAAGACACTCGAAGAAAGTTCTTAGGACTTATAACGAATTACGGACTTATGAAGTTAAAGATTTTCCTTGATTTAAGTAAGAATAATCATTGGATTGTTACGGGGTATTTAACAGGACATTATCTCCTCAATGAATACCTCAGTAGACTGAAGTTAAGAGACAAAGGCAAATGCAGATTCTGTGGGAAAAATTGGAAAACACCGGAATACCTCACTGCCTAAACGACAACCATTCGTGCCATAAACTTATTTTATATAAGGTTTCTTTAACAAGGCACTGTCTCCCCAATGAACACCTCAGTAGATTGAAGCTAAGAAACAACGGAGCAGCTAAAAAACACGGAAATATCAGAACACCTTATTACTGAGTGCACCGAGACGACAACCATTCGTGCCATAAACTTTGGTACGACTAATATTGGAGATGGAGAACTACCCTCTGTAAAACCATCCCAGCTACTGGCTTTTGTCAAAACCCTGGGACTGTATGATGTGTTATAACTCAAAAAAGAGGGATACAATAGATTTATAAGATCACGGTGATTATTTTGACAAACATTTTGACAAACCAAGCTCAAATAAACCCTTCTGTAATGATGCAAAAACAATTACGAAAATGGCAATAGGCACAATAAGGTGACCAATAAATCTCAAGAATGGTGAAAAAATTTATCGGGACAGAGGCAGGAAAACATTTCATAGTAGACACACCGCAACCAAAAATTTGCTGTAGATCTTGTAAGCAAAAACAGGAAAACAGTTAAAACTTTATATAGTGGGTCTATACAAACAGGAATTGCAACAGCAAAATAAAACACGTGCCCGGTGGCATAGAGGTACAGGCTCTCGTCTACCAATCTCAAGGTTGTGGGTTCGAATGCTACACCCGGCATTTCATCAGCCGACTATTTTTATTAAAATAAAAATAGTTTGGGTATCTAGGTCGACTCAGCCTTAAATGAGTACTTGGGATTCACAATCCTGAGGTAATAATAGGCGGTTGAAGCGTAGTGCTAGCCACATTACCTTCCTTGTATACCGAACGGCTCTAGCATAGCAAGCTGTATCTTGCTACTCCCAAGGCGTTAAAGGCTATATACGGGAGCTTTTATTATTATTAAAATAAAATACTAAAGGTACATTCAGGCTGAGAGTGTCGAGCGTCGCGTCGCGTTTGCGTTGCGTCCGCCCCATTGAACTCGAACCCCGACACTCAGCGGACGCTAGCGCAACGCCAAACGCGACGCTGTCTGCCTGAACGGTCTAATTTAAGTTCAACACTACGTGATGCTCGACGCTCTCAGCCTGAATGTACCTTTATTCATCACAAAACACCAAAACACTTGGATGCACAATGGATGCGTATTTTGCTAACTATATTATACCATTAGCATCATCAGCAGATTATTAAAACTTTAGTAGCTTTAATCATCTGCCGATGATGCTAAAATGGTTAGCAAAGCGCGCGTCCAGTGTTAAAGCGAGTGTAGCGAAGCGCGCGTCCAAAAGTAATGTGCTTTGGTGTATTGTGGTGAATTAGTGTTTTATTTTGCTATTAATACCGAAATTCCAACCTCCCAACTGTAATCAGTGAATTTCAAGCTCAGTAGTATTGACGAGCGAGACTGGTCTGGGTTCTTGCAGATAAAGCACTAGATTAGCGCCAAGACTGAACCGTGCAAGAATCCCAAAGATCCTTGCTGTCTTTTTATTTGCATCTCATTTTCCATAGATTGTAACTAAAAAATAGTTATTATAAACCCTATAAAATTGATTGAATAAAAAATTACTTGAAACCCCATTTATTTAAAGTTTTTGGATGACCTCTCAACTGCTCAAATTTACGTATTAAGTATTATTATTTAATTAATTGTTCAGTATCCAATTCATTATGACTAAAAACTTTTTGAAAAGGATATCATTGAAGAATGTAACCAATAGGTCAGAAGTAGACCACAATTGGTCTGTAAAAAAGAACATAATAGATCTGTAAAGAAGAATACCACAATAGATCTGTGGAATAGGCCAATAGCCAACTCAAATATCTAGACTATTTGGTACATACCTAGGTCCCACGCACACCAATCTCCTGCCCTCTTTAATCTTGACCGCCTGTGCCACGATCTTCTGCCGCTTCCCTGCCGAGACGAGCAGCGCGGTGCTCTGCAAACCTGGACTGGGCAGCGTGGGCACGCCCAGGCCTCCGTACTGGCCCTTGATGATCTTCACCACGGCGGGCAAATGGTGCTTGGCGACGAACTCGCGCAGGTAGCTGCCCTCGTCGGCCCATCGCGCGGCCGCCACTGTGATCTGACCGTCGGTTGCCGCCATAATCGCATTACTTGATCTTCATTTCTGGAAAGAAGAAAAAATGACAGTTATAGTATATTTCTTAAAGTTTAAAAGCACAAGACCTTCATTATAAATGCAAAAGACGTTTTGTTGTGTACAGTGTAACATGGCAAAAGTTGGGACCAATTTCATTTTAATGGATATATTCCAATGAAATTCGGACAGCATTAACACGTTTGTAGATGGACACATCCGGTACGTTTGCCGAGAACAATAGCAACCCTTCGTATAACAATAGGGCAATAAAGATATTCTCTCTCTATAAAGGTAGTGACCGCACCAGTGTCTGATATTAGGGTTTGAAGATTTATTTTAAGTTTTGTTAAAATATGTTTTGTTACACAACGTAAAATAATATGATAATGGCAATACAAATATTTATTTACCCATTATTGGCATGGTCATCAGTAACATTGGATTATACGAATACAGGGTGTCCTGTTTTGGTTGAAATCATACGGTGTTCCTATTATTAGCTGAAGATAGAAGGATGCGGTTTGCACAAACCTGCCCCATTTTTTGTCAAACGGAAGATGTTGTAAACAAAATTCTCATAGCCCTGTTCGTTTCTGAGCTACAGGGTCTTTTTGAAAATTTTGCAATTTGGGACAACCCCCGTATCTCTTGTTATCGTGAAAGGTATCGAGAAGGTGAAAACTGTTTATTGTAGAACTTTTTACGATAGAATACAGTGTCGTAGTCTATTTTTCTACGAATATAATATTTTTGAAGATATGAACTAATGAAGAATGAACTATGATATGTAACCTATATGAATTTATTTATATGATCTGGCTTGCCATAAATTTCTCAAAAATATATATATATCAATCTATATTTATTTTCACCATTTTTTAATACTGCATTATTTAAAAGTTTTCAGTAAAAGATTATTTTGATTAGTAGGGCAGGATTGATAATAAATGAAACTAAATAATTATTAAAAGTATACTACTATCTGTCTCTTGTTTTATTCTGGGAGCCACTAATAAATTCTTTATATATCAGGGAAACTTAACTCTCTACCGCTATTTTTAAATCTTGAAAACCACCGTACCGGAACTTTTAGATATTCCTTTAGGCAATTTACGTGAAATATACTTTCAGCAAGATGGGTTCACCTTCACATCTTGGAAAATATTAGAATTTTGTTAAATGACTATTTTCCAAATCAATGGATTGGGACCAATGATGGCATCCATGATCCCCGGATTTGTCCGTTCTTGATTTCTGTATTTAGGGATTTATGAAACATATCGTGGCAAATACAACAATGTCGAAGACCTTCAAAATGCTATCAGGCAAGCTTTTAGATATTTGCAAACCAATCCTGTTATAATAAATCCCGTTATAAAAAAAGAAGAAAAATATATTGTGTATATGATTTGCGTTATGACATTGACAACATTGCAAGGCTTCGATACTTCAATTTGAGATGTTTGGGGCAAATAAGCCTGCGGCACCAAAAAGTTCTTTAAATTTCTCGGAAAATATAAAATCTCTTGATTCCGTTCTTGTGGTATCGACTGAAACTGGTCAATTTATTCACTTCGTTGATACTGAACAAAGGTCTATTATTTCAGAACTCCTCATATTGATTTGCGACAAAATAACGAAACCTGTCTATAAACAAATAATTATCTATAAGTATAACAGTAATATATCTATGAATCCGATCGTCTTCATCATTTGTCCATCGCACCAGCAGCGAACACGCACAATTGTGTAGAAAGTGCGCTCGATTGAGGCGGCGAAGTCAAGGCCAAATTTTCACCAGGCGGACCTTGGCTATTACTGACCAGAAGTGTGACCAGCCCAAGGCCGTCCATCTTCGCGCTGGTCGACGATCCGCGATGCCCGTTTGCAACAGTTCAGCGCAACGTTGCCGAAACCAACAATATTTCATCGGATTACAGGTCGTTTGAAAGTTTAGTTCAATTAGTAACATCCCAGTTTAATAATTGAACCTTTTTTAGTGAACAATTCAAATTTGACGGCTTGGGCTAGTAATTTCGGTAGCATACCTGTATTTTTGTTATTAAAAAATTTCTAGTTCTTGATCTAGTAATTATTAAAACTCTTTTCCAGTATTTCGGTGTATTGTGGTGAATTCGTGTTTCATTTTGCAAATAATTGATTTATACTACAAATATATTATTTTTAAGAAATTGAATAAGTAATAGTAATTCTCTCAGCGTAAATAAAAGAAAACCAGCAAAATATTGAATCTACTCTACTTTATATTTTAATACATTTTAAAGCAATTAGAGCCAGACTGGTCTAGGTCTTGGTCTTGAACAAAGATCTGCATTAGATCAGCAAGACCAAGACCAAGATCAAACCGACCAGTGCAAAACTTCCGCAAGACCAAAACCATGCATGCAGGACTCCTGCGGTCTTGAGGTTTCGCATTTTTTTTCATGTTTATACCTATGATGAAAAATTACGCATTTGTTCCAAATTATTGTTGTGAATTTACTACAAATAGTGGTTTCTCACATAAAATTAAATAGAAAGAAATGCTGATTCAATATAATACAGAGATTCGGAAAACTCTGGCAGCCTATCCTACCGATAAAAATAAGTAAAAAAGTTTGTATAAATGTATGTCTTAAAATTCTTCGTTTCGGAGATACAGGGTGTAGAAGTTTCATTTTTATTTCAATTTTTTCCAAATAATTTATGAAGTAATGTAAACATTTGGATGAAAATTGGTGCCTAGAAGTTTTTTGACATGAGAAATTTGATTTTAGTGTTAATATGACTTCTAATTGTAGGGGGCGCCACCTATAAATTTTTAACTGGTTTAAAGAGTTATCATTTTTTTTCTGTACCTGTATAAAACTCCTGGGAGAAAATATACATTCGACCGCTATTTGAAATGGAAATAGTCAATACATAAATATCATTATTGGCAAAAAATAAACATGTAGACTAGATATAGTTATTAGACTGAAATTATAAATCTGAGGTTTTTATTTTTTTAAATTAATCATAATTTTTCCAGAGAAAAATATGATGAAATAATTTCTGTTGAACCTTGGCCACAAAAATACTTCAAATTTTTAATTTCACTCTAATAACCATAGAGTTAAAAATAAAAACTAATAACTACAGTACGTCTGTCCGTTCTGTAGCTACGGGGTATCCGTGAGAGGGGAAATGATATTGTCTCGATGTTTTTCGTAAAAAGTTAGACGATGCGTCCCATCAATAAAAATTCCGCAAATTTGCAAGTGGCCAATAAAATGAGTGGGCGGAGCGATTTGCGGTGACGTACTCGTCAAGTCGACGTATAAAATATACTTCTGTTTATTTAAATGTATTTTGTCCGCATTCCATTCATACATTCATAGACACAGATCCAGCAGATGTACTGTATCTAGTCAACATGTTTAATTTTTGTCAATAATGACATGTATTGATTATTTTGATTCCAAATATCTCAGAAATCATTACTCGTAGCAATTTTTACTAAGAGACCTTTTTTACGTTAAAGTTAAAGGAACATTTTTACTTATTTTTATCTGTAGAATATGCTGCCGAAGTTTTCCGAATACAATTCGGACCACCTTGTATATTAAAAAATAAAAAAAATTGTCTCGGACAAAAAATATTCTAATAATTTCTTTCTTTAAAGTTCTATATGCATTGAATTACTAAAAATACTATTTATTTAAAGATTTTCTATGTAGAAAGTGCCTCTAGTAAAAATCTATTAAAAAATGCAAGACTTGCAAGAGTCTTGCAGCAGGACCAAGACTGGATTTATTAAGTGCAAAACCAAGACCAAGGGACTCTTGGTATTGGTCTTGCATTTTCTCTTCACCAAAAGCCACTTAATTTGTGTTAAACATATTAAGGTACCTCTCGATCGCACTAATTTAGTTGATACGCCTCTGCAATAGTCTTTTTATTCAATGCATCCCACACTTCTCCCCCTCGACAATCGGCAACGTCGCACGACTGCTAATGAGATATCTCCGGTTAACGCGTACACCTTAGCATCGAGTTACGGCACAGCCTCCTCCCGCAGCAAAGGACACTGACACTCGGAGCGGAGGACCCCTCGAGATCCGTACACACGTTCGAAAATAAGCCGCAGAAACAACAGCCGAGCGCCCGACTATGCCGCTGTTGTCGAAGATGTACAGCAGGAATAATGAAACACTTGTCAGTTGTAATTTCCCCATTTCTAAGGGAGAAAACTTAAACGTGGCACCATCGCATCATTAGTGGAAGGTGAAACTTAAATCCAAATAGACAAATGAAACTGCAACTGAATTTTAGTCAATATATTAAGAATCATGGATAAAGGGGAATCCTCCAACGGTCTAAAGCACTCGAAGAAATTTTTCAGAACTACCGAGAAAAATCGAAGGTTTTCCTCGATTTAAGTAAGAACAATCTTCGGATTGTCACGGAGATTTTAACAGGACACTCATCTCTTCATTGAACACCTCAGTAGATTGAAGCTAAGAAACAAAGGCGAATGCAGATTCTGTGGGAAAAATTGGGAAACACCAGAACATCTCATCACTGAGTGAGCCGAGATGACAGCCATTCGTGCCATAAATTTTGGTACGACTGATATCGAAGATTGAGAACTAACCTCTGTAAAATCGTCTCAGATACTGTCTTGTGTTAAAGCCCTAAAACTGTAAGATGAGTTATAATTCAAAAAAGGGGGGACACAATAGATCTATAGATCGCGGTGATTAACTTCCCCCCTCCCATCAATCTACAATCATGAACAAAGACGCTAATAGTAAGAATCTAGAAGAATATTTGCAGTAGGCGAATAAGAAAGCAACAGTGATATTCTTAACGATGTCCAAAAGCAGTCTTCGAACACTAACTGCAATCTTAAGTAAACATTGTCAACTCAATAAACTCTTTCATCAAATGAAGTTAAATAAGCCAGTCTGCAGATGATATAAACAGTAAGAGGAGACACTTCCAATCTATTGTAGCCAAATTACTGTAGAATGTGAAACTTCAAT